TTTCAAATAAACCTAATTAGTTTAACATCTCAATTCTACGGGATGAAAGGACAAATCCTTTGAGATCTTCCAGGGGCCATCTAGGAAATCTCAAAGTCAGTTTGAGATGAAGAAGACTTCACTTAGTATTTCATTTTGGAGGGCCGGCCCATGGCTCACTTGGGAGAGTGTGATGCTGACAACACCAAATCAAGGGTTAAGATCCCCTTACTGGTCATCTTTAAAAAAAAAAAAAAAAAAAGAATTTCATTTTGGGAAGGCAAAAATTGTCAAAAATGTCAAAAGGTTTGAGTATTTAATCAGATGGGATCACAAGTCACTGTGAAACACCACTTAGTTGTATACTTAACCAAAGTGACAATAAAAGATTATGAAAGTAAATATAGGAGGTAACATGACTGTAAAAAACCTTGGCTCCTTTGCCTTAAGACAACACGGAGCACAGGATATTGTGTTGGTAAGATAGAGGATCCTTGTTCCCTAGGCAAATTACTCAAAAGATAAAGAAAACCCTTATACAGTCTCTTATTAAAAGCAGATTTTCTTTTTTTTTTTTTTTTTTGTCTTTTTCCATGTCCGGCAACGGATCGCAACCCTCAGTGTCGCCCCCGTACCAGACCGGGACCGGCAACAGGATCGCAACCCTCGGTGTTGCCCCCGCGCCTCACTCAGCCAGTGAGCGGGAACTGGTCTGTATGTGGGATCCGAACCCTCGGGCGGCAGCGCTGCCGCGCTTCCCAAGCGGCGCACTAGCGCAGTGCGCCACCAGGCCGGCCCATAGTACAATTTCTTTTAATGTGGCAAGAAGAGCATGTTTATTAACAGACCCAAATGTCTTTAGCCTCTCTTTACCATATAAAAACAAGCCAAAAGTATATAAGCTTAAACTTACAATTAATGATGAATGTTTCAGCACTTTCTCTTATTTAGAAATTATTTAGATATTCAATGAATATCTATTATTTAGCTTAACTTAGCATAACTCTAAGGTTGTAAGTTACCAAAAAGATTTTGGAAACTTTTTAGACAGACATATTATAAAACATAATTTATAACACATACCTCACTGGTTTATATAAGAGATGGTTCAGTTTTTTTTTTTTCTTTTGCTCCATTTTATATTTTTATCTTAACTGTATTTCTGGCAGATGGAGCCAGTTAAGGATCACCTGCTCAATATAAGGGCTAGAGCTTTCCAAGTAATATTTGTGGAGAAGACCTTTATGACTTTTTTTGCCCTGACATATAATCTTATGGAGGCTGTGGACTAAATGTCTGTTTCCAAGCTTTTATTTTCTCCTTCAGCCTCAGGTCATTGCTTTTGTGGGTCCCTGAGAACCCCGATGGGATGGGGGTCCCAAGCTCCAGTGACTACAGGGATTCAGGGCTGTAACCCAGCTGCAGTGGGACAGGAAGGGTCTGATGGGGAGGACAGGGGTAGAGGAGGTAGGGACTTGAGGGGGACATGTCTAAGGATGCAGGGGATCTGAAGGGAAGCTGGAAGGTGTTGACAGAAGGAAGGAGGAGCAGAGGTAATGGGAAGAGAAAGGGCTTAGAGGAGCCAGTTTGGGGAGAACTTAAATTTACCAAAGAAGTCATTGAAGTTCCCAGTTACCCTTGGTAAAGTCACATCAGCAAGAAAGGAAGCTGACAGTGTTAGTGACATAGGAGGTGCTCAGCTTCCCTGGGTTCAGGTTTCAGGACATACCTCTGGGTTTCAAGCCACTCCCCAAGGTCTCGAGCCCCTCCTCTAGGCCCTTCCCTAGAGGAGAGTTATTGTTGCTTATTGGACCTATTTTCCATAACAACAGGGAGAGATTGACACCACAAGGGGTGGACTTATGCAAATCTAGTGGCTGAGCATGCTCAGTGGAAGGGAGTTTATCCTTTGAATGACCTTCCACGAAAGGTGCTAAAGAGCACAGAATATTCTTGAATATGTTTAGTGCGTGTGATAGAATTTGACCAATGAACATGCCCTAAGAGGAGACCAACCAAGCACGTGCAAGACCAGGTTACATAACTGGGAACCACCCCCTTAGCTGAATATTCATTAGATGGCATGAGCTTGTTTTAGATCAGGAAACTATAAAAGTGGAATCCCTGTAGGCGGCCGGGCTGTTGCTCACTTTCCTGGCACCAGCCCACACTTAGCCGACCGTGTGTTGCTGTACTTTTGTGTTAGGCTTGCACTCTGGACTAAACTGTAAGTGTGTATTTCTTATTTTGTGTTAAACTTGGTGTGGGCCCTGCTCAGTCTCTGGAGCTCGGCCGCACTCTGTGAAATCTGTATCTCTTATTTGTTACGTTAAACTGTTGTCACTTTCTTTTTTTTTTGTCCTTTTTGAGACCGGCCTTACCGCGCTCAGCCAGTGAGCGCACCGGCCATCCCTATATAGGATCCGAACCCGCGGCGGGACAGCGCCGCACTCTCCCGAGTGCGCCACGGGCTCGGCCCCTGTTGTCACTTTCTACTGTGACTGTGCTCTTGAATTCTTTCCTGTGGCAGAGTCAAGAACCTGGTAGGAGGATGGGGTGGGTTGAGGCTGCTATTGGGACTCCCCAGACCCTTTCCTCCAATATCATTAGTGCTTGTTGTTTCTAGTAGTTTTATTTTCATATATTGATTAGGAGTGGCAGAGCAGGGTCAGCAGGAGTCAAGTAG